TGGATGGAGGGTAGATGGATAAATGGACAGACGGATAGATGGATGAACCCTTAATTAATTACACCCTTACCTTGCTCAATTCACATTTCCCCCAGGGATTCTAATCAATCCTACTTTTAACAAAGTAAAGCTCATCCTCCCAACAGACCTCCCTCTGTAGGTCATCACGTTTTATACCACAGCAGCAAATTGCCCAACCATGCCTGAGCAGCCTGGAGGGAGTGATGTTCCTGCCCAAACTCCTATCTCCCCATCAGGGAGTGCCTGGCCCTGGGGAACAGAGAGGCCAAGGCAGTGTATTATTCTTTGTGACTCACAGTGCTAAAACGGGAGAGTAAGAATGCATCCTTGATGCATTCCCGATTTGATTTAAAGCCTGGAAAGCTGATCTGTGGCATAAATGATGCATGAGGTCAGACTTGAGTTTTTGGGGAGACGGGGGGTCAGACAGCGGGGTTATACACCAACAATCTGCTGACAGTCCTGACGTCATCTCTGCATGCTTTTTTTTCCCCCTCGTCTCCCCAGGGAGAAAAACTATGAAGATATTTTCTGGTGGCTAGGCAGAGTGGAGGAAGAGTTGGGAAGCCGTCCTTTTCACTCGGGGCCTGGTAAAAGGAGCCTATTAGGCTGTGAGCTCTCAGAGGACGGTCACCATGGCAACCCTGAATCAAGGAGCAGGCTGCCTTTTGGCCATTGTCTGGAGTACAAAGTCTTTGTTCAGCTTTCAACAAGCTGATTAAAAAACACATCCAGCTAGATAGATACAGACCCCAATAGACAGGCACCCACATACACTGAAAAGTTTTAAAATCACATAGCAACAGGTAAGCTCCTTCCTGCAGCTTTTAATGATGCCGGTCACTGAAACCTTGTTTGTCTGCTCCTTATTTTTCTCCTGCACCTGCTGCCTATGGGAACAGAAGACACTCTGATGCCAAAAGAAAATGGCCTCGCAGTTACTGAGGAGCTGCCACGAGGCCTTAAGTACAGGTTTGTCTGTTCTTGAAACACGGCTGCCCAGAACCTCCACAGCCGTGGGTCACTGGTCAGTGTGAAAGTGACGCCCTTTCTGGAGAGTGGTTAGGGGGACTGGATGTGTGTGGGGGAGCACGTTTTGTGGCTTTCTTGCCTGTAGTGGTCAGACCTGCTGCTGACCTGAACCAGCCTGCCCTTCCATGGGAATCCAGGCCCAGCACGCCCAGGCAGGAAAGAAACTGGGCCACTTGATGAGGCCCTGCAATGTCAACGCAAACCTCTATGAGGACATGGAAGTCTTTCTGAATTTACTTAAAAGGGCAAAATAACAAAGAGCGCCAACTGGCAGCTCCACTGGTCCAGAGGCTTCAGGCCAGAGACGTGCAGAACTTTGAGGAGGGCCTGTCGCTGAGGCTCAGGCTCCGGCAGCCCCTTCTCTGGCCACTTCAGGGCACAAACCACAGGGTGAGCAGGAAGGGGCAGGCTCAGAGGTCATCTGACCCACGCCTCCAGGACCAGGTGAGAAAGTAAGTGCAGAGAGGTTAAGTGACTTGTCCAAAGACACACAGCTGGGACATGGTAGAGCCTGGACTGCAATTCAGGACTACTGGAGGCTGAGTGGATAATGAGGAACACAGCAGTTGCTCAAAGCAAAGCAAACAGCTAGAGTGAGCAGGAGACCAAATTAGATGCTGAGAACTGGGCACCAAGGCCTACTGGAATCTGATCAGATCATTTTCAGAGTAATAACATAATTTTAACCATAAGTTACCGTGAACCTACACCACACCGGGCACTGGACTGGATGCTTCCCATACACTATTTCTTTGTGACGAGGATGGTTATCCCCACTCAACAGATGGAGAAATTGAGGCTGGAAGAATATAAGTTACTTGCCAAAGGCCACATGGAGCTGAGAAGACATGTCAAGATTCTCCCAAGTGCTAGTGCCCTCAAAGCCTGAGTCTTGACTTGTAATGACACCGACTTTCATCGCAAGGAAGGACAAGGAGCTGAATGTCCTCGTTTATTTTAGGTTCCCACATGTTCAGACCCTGAACTAAAAAATCTTCCAGAGAAAGTCAGGGCTAAAGTTAAGACAAAAAGTGTAAGACTCTCTGAAACAAATAGAGTCATGAACTGAAAGTAGGCTGATTGGCGTTACAAGTGGGTGGTAACTGGGCTTGGGGTTATATGTGTGTTCTTGCTATGAGCTAAACACCACGACTCTCTTTGTGTCTTTCCCCGACATTTAAAGAAGAGCCAGAATTCTCCTAGTAGACCAGGACAATGGAAAGGGATCTGCTTTTTCTAAACTTTAGAATCCAAAGGATTTATTAGAGTTGGTTAGACATTGACACTACACACCAGGGCTCATTTGAACACTTGACAGGGCTGGATTCCAGAAGGTCTAATTAGTTAGGGAATGTGGGAGAAGCTCCAAGATTCCTGCCAGTGGATGGCGCCATGTTAGCTCACTCCCAGAAATGCCTACTTCTTGCCCTCACAACAAACCCTTGGCTTGCTTACTAGCTGGAAGACAAACAATACAAGCTTTTCAGAGCAATGAGGAAGTTATTATTTCCTTGTGCTGACTCCAAGGCCACGGACTAAAGCACTAGCTTTGGAGCTGGGAGGACCTCAGTTCAATTCCCAACCTTGACCCTAATTCTTACTCTGTGGTATAAAGCAATTATTTTACTTTTCCCTTCATCATGTTATTGGATTTGGTTAAAATAAGGGACACCCAGTGCCTCTCCAGAGCACCATGTGCATCGCTGTCTAATGGACATGCACCAAGCTGTACACAGCAGCCCTGCTAAGCCTATACAGCACGCAGGGCATGAGGCCCACCCGACAGAGCTCCTTCTCTTTCCCTAGTCTCCATTTGGTTATGGCTTAATTCAGGAACTATATATAATTTGCCTACTGTGTGCCAGGCACTGTGTGAGGTGCCGGGGACAGAGGGAGAGTTAAGACAAGGTTCTTGCTGTCCATACACTTCCATTCTAATGAGAGAGATACAGACAAGTAAACACAATTGCAGTGAGGGATGAGGCATGTAGTGTTAGAAATATAGAGAGGAAACAGAAACAGGACAGGGGAGTGAGAAATGAATTGTCTGAGAGAGTCGAGGAAGACTTTCCGAGAAGCTGACCTAGAAACTAAGTTTTGAAGGATGAATAGGAGTTTGGCTGTGAAAATCGAAGAGACAGAAAAGGGAAGAGCACGTGCAAAGGCACAGAAGCACGAAACAGAGGGCCCTCAGGCCCTTTCAGGAATTTTGCTGCCCGCCTGTTGTATCTCCGGCACTGCTCGGAAGCCCAGGAATAGTGACCAGCTCTGATGTCGAGACAAACAGCTCTGCTCTCCAGCTCCTTGCTTGAACCTCCATGGGTCTCTGACCCTCTTGGCTCAGGCCTTCTGCTCCTAATTCTGGCCTTTAGGCCTCTGGCCCCAGCAACATGTTATGGATACACTTGCCTGACCTTGACCTTCAGGTCTCTTGGACATGATCCAGTCGAGGATCTGCCACTTGAATGAGAGACACTCCTCCTTCCACCCTGCCTTGTGGGACCCTAAAGGCCAGGCCAGCCCGGCCTACCCTACAGGGTCACATAGAAAGATCTGCAACTGGTCTGATGGAGCTAGAATAAAAAAAGTCAGTGGGGGAGGGAAGTGGCAGGAGACGGTCTGGAGGTGGGCAGGAGGCCAATCTGATTCCCGCTAAAGAGTCTGGACTTTCTCCTGCAGACACGGGGAGCCAGGGAAGGGCATGATGCAGAGGACGGGCAGGCTCTGATTCGCCTTCTCTGGGGCTACTCTGGTGGTGAGAGGGCGAATGTATTGGAAGCAGAGAAACTAGAAGCAAGGGGAAAAAATCAGTATGGGAGGCTGTTGTAATAGTCCAAGCAAGACCTGAGGAGGAAAGAAAGCCAGGCTTCCCTGCCCCTTGCTGCTAGTACCCTCGAGTGGCCACCCTGGACGCAGGGGCGGGAGAGACAGGGTCCTCTTTACTCATCTTCGTGGTTCTATAGCCCTCCATCACAGTTCTGGTTCTTACACGTGGAGGCTGCCTCCTGCTCCATCACCATCACGTCTCCTCCTTTCCCTCCCTCTTCCTCTCCCTCCCCTCCCTCGCATTCCTCCCACTCTTTCTTTTTGCTCCTCCTCTTTCTCCTTCCTCCTCCTCCCTTCTTCTCTCTCTGGCCCACCCTGGAGAGACATGCTTTGCCTCCTACCTCTAGCCCAGGCCTCCTCGACAGGAGATAACGGAAAAGTAAAACTGAAAAGCAAGCGTGAACCTGTGAAACCTAATTGAAGAGCCACCAGCACGTGTCTGTGAGAGGCAGGCATGACATGAGAGAGCACTGGCCTCACCACTTTAAAACAGAAGCCAACAGAGTAAGGCGCCCACCAAGGGCTTGACCTGAAAACTCCAGGGTGTTCCACAAATATTAACAACAACTTTTGTCACAGAGTCTGTCACCTCGGAGCCTGGAGGAGGACGTCACAGCTCTCTGCAAGGACCCTGCCAGGCAGGTGGGAACTAGAGAGCGACCGACCAGCATCCCTGAGCCCACGCTCTGGCTTCCCTTGTGACCATCCGCCAGCCTCCACTTGCCCAGAACTATCTTCAGTGACTCTCCCCAGGTCACAGCAACCTATTTACAGACATCTAGAATTCCCAGGCACTTTTAGGACAAGCAACTCGGGATGTTTCCAAGTGGGCAGCAAAGTCTTCTCTAAGAGAAGCTGTTCCTCCCGATCTATTTATGCCCGTGTAAACACTCGCCAAGGAAACAAGGCATGTGGGCATGCGCCAGCCCTGCAGGCCCTCAAGTTGCTGCAAAAGGCAACTGGAAAGTCACATGTCATAACAGTGGAAAGTACATATGCAACTATTCTTAGCCCTGGAATGTATACACTGTCTCCCTGCCCAGCAGGTCTTTCACAAAGCTCTAGAAAACTATGAAAGTGCCTTCAGCATAAACAAATCCAGAACTCCCCCAGGGCAAATCATTCGCCAGCTGAAGAAACGGCCTGGGTTGATGGTTTCACTCGGAGCTAGAGGTGGGAACTCCCAGGGGGCCGAGCCAGGCCGAGCATCAGAGGACATCGCTTCAGCAAAACAAGGTAAGTGCTCTGATGTTTAATTCTCCTGCAGGTAGGCTGCCAGGTGCCGCCCAATAACCATGTCCAGGGTACGGTTTGGTCACTGCTTTCTATTTATTCCTTCTTTAAAACAAAACCCAAAAGGCTCCATGAAGTCATGTTTAAAAAAAAAAAAAGGGAAAAAAAAACATTGCAAAGGTCCATTGTCATCTCTCAACTGTGTAGTTACCAGAGGGCCACACCCCCAGAATGACGTCCTCAGGAATGACTAACATCCAGAAAGATGCTTAGATGAGTTTACTGAATAACAGATATTCTGAGAATCGGAAAAAAGGCCCACAGACTTCTGCATGTCAAATGCACAGACTGTCATCTTGCTTCAGGCTAACATTTCAGCCCCTGACAATCAAGTAATTTCCAACAACTTGGTTTTTGGGGTTTTTTTTAATTTGTTTTTTCAGATTCTCTGAAGGTGCTGTTTGCCTGTTACCTTTGAGAGTAATCATAACCAAAAAGAGAAGGGTCCGCTGTGAGGTCTGGGGTATCCGTGGCCTCCCTTTACAACCTTCTCTAAGCGATATTCTTGGTGGTACCCACAAGCATCTTCGTGAATGGACATAGATGTCCTAAGTCTTGGAGCCACCCCAGCCAAACGCTCCAGCACGTGCTCCCTCTTGGGACCTCTCCCGCTCTTGGTAGGATGGACCAGGATTCACCAGACGGGCTGCTCTTCAAAGACCACGATTTCTCCTCCGACTTGTTGAGACAGCTCAATGTCTTAAGACAAAACAGGATCCTGACTGATGTGAGCATCTGTGCTGGGGCCTGGGAGGCCCCCTGCCACCGCAACGTGCTGGCCTGTAGCAGCCCCTACTTCAGGGCCATGTTCTGCAACAACTTCCGAGAGAGCCGAGAGGCCAAAGTGCAACTGAAAGGCATCGACTCGACGACTCTGGACCGGATGGTCCTGTATGTGTATACGGGGGAGGTGCACATCACAGCAGAGAACGTTCTGCCCTTGATGGAGGCGGCCTCCATGCTGCAGTACCCCAAGCTGTTTGAGGCCTGCTCCTCCTACCTCCAGGGCCAGCTGACCCCCAGCAACTGCCTGGGCATGATCAGACTCTCAGAAATCTTAAGTTGTGAGACCCTCAAGAAGAAAGCCAGGGAGGTGGCCCTGACCTATTTCCCAGAGGTGGCCGCATCGGCTGACCTGAAGGAGCTCTGTGCCTTGGAGCTGCGAGACTACCTCGGAGATGATGGGCTGTGTGGGGAGGAGGAAAAGGTGTTTGAGGCCCTTATGGTTTGGATCAAGCATGACCTCCAGGCCCGTAAACGATACATGCAGGAGCTGTTCAAGCAGGTCAGGCTTCAGTACATCCACCCGGCCTTCTTCCACCACTTCATCGCCAACGACGCCCTCCTTCAGTCCTCACCCTCATGCCAGACCATCCTGGAGATAGCCAAGAGGCAGATGTTTTCTTTGTACAGCACCACCAGTGCCCCAGACCTCCAACCTCCGTGGCATGTCCCCCCAAGAAACTCTTACCAAGATTTCCTCATGCTCCTGGGTGGAAGGAAGGACAACCAGCAAACCACCAGGGATGTTCTGCTATACAACCCACAGACCGACCAATGGCAGAGCCTCGCCAAACTCCCGACCCGGCTGTACAAGGCCTCAGCAGTCACCTTGCACCGCAGCACCGTCTATGTGCTGGGAGGCATGGCTGTTGGCGTAGGGAAGAGCGTGCTCAGTCGCAAAGTCTACATCTTCTCCCTGAAATTCAATCATTGGAGGCTGGGGCAGCCCATGCTGGCGGCCCGCTACTCCCACAGGAGCACTGCCCATAAGAACTTCATCTTCTCCATAGGGGGCGTTGGAGAAGGCCAGGAGGTCATGAGCTCCATGGAGAGATATGACAGCATCAGCAACATCTGGGAGAGTATGGCCAGCATGCCAGTGGGGGTTCTCCACCCTGCAGTCGCTGTGAAAGACCAAAGACTCTACCTTTTTGGGGGAGAGGACATCATGCAGAACCCTGTGCGTCTTATCCAGGTAAATGGCTGGTCCTTCCACTGTGTAAGTGCATGAGTGTGTACCCACACATACACACACACACACAAACACACATACATACACATGCACACATACACACATATATACACATACACATACATACACACACACATATACATATACACACATATACAGTCTCATATCGCTTAATGACAAGGATACATTCTGAGAAGTGCATTGTTAAGCAATTTCAGCGTTGTGTGAACATCACAGAGTGTACTTACACAAACCTAGATGGTATAGCCTACTACACACCTAGGCTATATGGTACTAATCTTTTGGGACCACCGTCGTATACGCAGTTTGTTGTTGACTGAAATGTTGTCATGCGGCGCGTGACAGTACACACACACATATACACATATATGTACACACACGCATGCACACGTACATATACACACATACATATAATACACACAAACCCTTGCCATTTGGGGCGGAAGGAAAAAGGAGGAAAAGAAAGAAGGAAGGAAGGAACTTTAACTTCAGCCAGATTTTATCCATTTATGAATTCTTTTTGTATAAAATTAATATATACATAAGTACATCAGATACAATCCCTGTGTACAAAGAGTTTATCTTTATTTGAGAAGAAAAATAAAAGTTTAAGCTAGAAGACATTGAATGTCAGATAGTGAAGTCCTATAGGAATTTTGCAGGTGCTTCTAACCCAAATCAGTAAGGCCTTAAAGGAAGATGCACAAACATTGGTCCACAATCTGTTACCACATCCTCTGGAGCGGGGCCTCAGATTGGCTGAATCAAGATCTCTTTGTGCGGAGTCCTGACATTTACGGTTTACAAACGTCTTCAGGGGATCCTAAGGCATAGCCAGCTTGGGGAACCCCTACCTTAAATGATAGGTAGATGCTAATTTTATTAACAAGCTCTCTGAGAAGTGCAGTTAATGAAAACCAAAATTTCAAAATATTGTGTTTTCCAACGTTATGCAAGTTCTAATCTCTGCAGTTCACCCAATGAGATGAGAAACTTGAGTAACAAACCTGTCTTTAAAGATAATCCGGGAGACCCCTGGTATTTGCTTTGTTCCTTTATAGGAGTTATATTGAGTGCCAGCCACTGTGAAGGCCCCGGGGGACATGGGCATGAGTAGTAAATTGCACTCACCACCCCCCAGGAGCAATTGCAATTCAGATGCTGAATAGGTGGGTGCTCTAAGAGGACAGGGGGTGCCCTAAACCAGCCTAGAGGGCATCAAGGAGGGTATGAGAGTTCAGGGAACTTTGGAAGGACTTCTGTGAGGGTGGTTTAAGCTGACTTGAGCAGAGAGGCAAGAAGAGAGAGAAGGCAGGTGAAGGCAGGGGAGCATGAGGGTTAAAAGAGGGGGGAAAGTCATGAAAGGGTGGATGGAAGGATTTGACAGGGACAGAGGTGGGGGCAGGAAGCTTCTCCGATCAGGTGACTCTGCCTTCTGAAGCAGGAGTCAAAGTCATCTGTTGAGGGAGGAGTGGGGTTCTTGAGCAAGAGAACAGCTGGTGCAAAGGCCCTGAAGCAGAAAGGGGCACAGCTCGTTAACTGGAGGAACTGAAAGCATGACAATGTAGTTGCAATACAGAGCAAGGGGGAGAAAGGTGGTGTGCCAAGGCTGGGGTTGGGGGGTCGTTAGTCCACACATAATCTCCATCAGCCCCCTTCCCAAGCTACCCTGAGCAACCCTTTCCACCCAGACTGCTGCCCTTGAGCCCCTTTATAGAACATTCTGGAACATTCTTGAAGGATGGGTGTGTGTGGAGTTGAGACTGATCTGGCAGGGCCTTCTAGGGCTTGCCAACGAATTGGAGTAGTACCCTGAGAGTAACAGGGTGGGTGAAGTAACCAAATTTGAATTTTTAGAAGTTTCCTCTGGATCCTTTGTGGAGGAAAGATCGGAGGGGTACTGAGAGAACACAGGGAAGAATGTTGGGGGACCCTTCCAGAGGTCCAGGAGAGGGAGGATGGTGGCCCGGGCTGAGTGGGTGCCAGTAGAGACGGAGAAAAGTGACGAACTCCTATTTAATCCTCTTCTTGTTTTTTTCTTGCCTTCCCTTCTTCAGCCTGTGTTTTTGGCTCCTCCCCGACCATCTAGGCAGGTTCTCAGTCCGTTCGGAATCCCACTCCTTTCTTTGAGCCCAGAGAGACGGGTTCTGCTCCCCTCCAAGTTCTGGCCACATAATACAGACGTAATAAAGTGCTTCTACAAAAAGCTAGAGCCCCTCCCTCTTTTTAAAACTATTTTTCAAAATAAAGTCAACAGGCCTGTTGATGATTTCACATTGCAAAATTGTTACCGACTTCCTAAGAATAAATGCAAAGCTCAAAAAAGCTTTTAAGCTGGCATATCAAGAATGCATAGTATAATCAAACAAGACCTTTGCCAAGCCAAAAAAAAACCCCACGAACATGTAAGCGATCCTTTTACACTGTGGGGATGAGAAGGGGAAAAGGGGAAAAGCATTCATTTGGAAGCTTTTCTTATCTACTGAGCATTAACTTCAAAATGGAAATTTTGCTCATTCAGATATAGTTTAAGATGAGTTCTTTGGGGTTACTTGATGGGGTAGGTTGGATTTTCAGGCATAGGTTGTTTTCTGCATAGGGTGGTTCATCCACATGCACACATTCTTTTAAGACCTAGACTGCAGCGGGGTTACTGTGCAAATTGTGTGTCTACGTGTACCTTTCCACGTCCCTTCTTTCTACCTCTATTGCTAGACCACATTAAGCAAAATCTTTACCGTAACAAAGTATCACTTCCTCCACTGGTCAAAGACCATCCTTTGTTTTCCTTGCCCCAGCCTCTCTGGGGGTATTATGAGGATTGTGAGCAAATGTTTAATCTATTTTTGAAACCATACCCAAAGCTGACAGAGAACAGAAGGCCAGGAGACAATTACTCACTCAAGGAAAATGCAACCGGTGTTTGCTTTTCCTCCAAGGATCTCATTTTCCGAAGAGTGTCACCTACATGTTTTCAGATGAAACCACGTGCTTGTCCTTGTCTCTAGCACTTGGCGTCCTCCCTGCTTCACTGACTTAAATGACAGACACAGACCTCAAGAGGTCTCCAGTCTCAAAAGCCTCCATTGAGAAAAGCCACACCTACACAGCCCCAAGCAGTGCCACAAAGGTGACGGTGAAGAACACAGACTCTGGGCTCACTCAACAAGACCAGCTCTCCCACTTACTCTAGCTGTGTGACCTTGGGCATGTCATTTAACCTCTCTGAGCCTCAGTGGTCTAACCAGAAAAATTGGGGGAAGTAATGGTATCTACTTCATAGCAAGGTCGTGAAGATCAAATCTGGTCAAATGATCAAAAATAAGGCCTTTAATATGGTGGCAATTATGTTTTATCCAGAAAGAATTTCCAGTGAAGAATACTGCACCATTTGCTTCTGTAAATGAATGTTTTTGTCCCTTCTTTTCCTATATGAAGTCCATCCTACCTCTCCTGTGTTAAATTTTGCCAGTAATGAACTCATTTACATTTGATGTGTGAACTTTGAGGAAATAAACAGGAGAACATGTTCTAGGAGTCACGACCTGGTCTGTTTCAGAGCACGGCCAAGGAGCCCTGCCCCGACCTCTTTGCTCATTCTTCCTTTCTCGTGCTTCCTTTTTTCTATAATTCTAATGACTCTCAGACATGAACTGTCCAAAAGCCTTCCTCAGCCCCAAATTTACTATCGTCTCTAAGACCCTCTTGGATACACTGGAACATTTAGAAATTTAAACATGAGCCAAAAATAAAAATGATTGAAAAATTATTGATTTTATGACTCCTCAAGTTGTTCCATTTCTCATTAAAACTAAAAAATGTTCCAAGTAAGGTAAGCAAACACATACTACAAATGTGTAACTTTTGGTCCATTTGACAGAAACACAGCCACTGATCTCAGACAGTCACATAAAGACCAATTTCTAGTCATACTCTTTCTGTTATTTAATTATGTTTTGTCTACTGATAGTAATATACCTACATTTTAAAAACTGGAAAAAAGTGAAAAGAAATCACTCCTATTTCACCCTCTTAGTTACTACTTCTATTTTTTTTTAAATATATCACTTTAAAATGCAGTGCCATGATTGTATTTCTCCCTCAGGTTTATCACATTTCCAGAAACACGTGGTTCAAGATGGAGACGAGAATGATCAAGAACGTGTGCGCCCCCGCCGTGCTGCTCGGGGAGCGGATTGTCATCGTGGGAGGTGAGTTTGAACAGAGAGTCGTGAGGCTGGACACAAACTTGGCATCTCTCATGGAAAAAGGGTCACTAATAGACCAACGTTTTCTACAAGACAGTTTATTTAAAAGCACGTCCATCCAACTAGGGGAGTGTGGACGACTTGACAAAGTTCTTTCCTCATCCAGAAGTTTCTCCCCGTCTTTATCAGCAAACGAGGAATGAAATAATACCTATTTCACAGAGTTCCTGTGATAATAAGATGCGCTCAGTTATCTAAACCCACTTAGCGCCATCCCAGACACGGGGCAAATACTCAAAAAACGTTTGCTATTGTTAATAATATTGGCTTCTAAGGGATCATCTCTCTATAATGGCAGTATAACGTCACAGTTAAGAGGACTGGTTTTGGGGTCAGATAGACCTGGGTTCAAATTCTGACTCTTCCACTAACTGGCTGTATACTCTCAAGGAAGTTATTAATCTCTTTGTGCCTCAGTTTTCTCATCTGTAAAATGGGGCTCCTATAGGAACCCACCAGACAGGGCTATTGGGAGACCCATTTCTGAGTTCCCAGAGGCTCCTTTGATTGTTGTAGCTCCTGGCTGGGCATAAGAGAGAAATGAGAAAGCCAGTGAGGCTGAGAAAGCCGCCAGAGTCAGGAGCTGCTCCCAAGCTAAGAATGGCTTACGTGCCACCTTAACTTGGGGTTAAAAATGCAGGGGCCAGAGTCAGACAGATCTGGGTCCACACCTCAGCTCTGCCACATCCTAGACCTTGGGCAGGTGCCCAAAACTTTCTACCGTTTAATTCAGAGTCCAGCCTCAGGGTTAGGCAACGGCAGAAAGCAGACACGTGCCAGGACTGCTGACCTCTAGTCCCAGATGAGCAAGGCTGACCTTGTCGATATGCCATTTGGTTTTCAGGTTACACAAGGAGGATTCTTGCTTACGACCCTCAGTCCAACAAATTTGTCAAGTGTGCAGACATGAGAGACCGGAGGATGCACCACGGGGCCACAGTGATGGGGAACAAGCTGTATGTGACGGGCGGGCGGCGGCTGACCACGGACTGCAACATCGAGGACTCGGCCTCCTTTGACTGCTACGACCCCCAGACGGACACCTGGACGTCCCAGGGACAGCTGCCTCACAAACTCTTTGACCATGCCTGCCTCACCCTCCAGTGCATACCCTATACTTCCCCCTTTCCATGAGGTCGACGAGAAACTGTCTGTCTTAGTCAAGATGCTCTTGTGGCAAGAGACAGAACCCAACTCCAAAAAGCTTAACCCTAAAATGGTGCAGGGATTGCTCACAGGACTGAAAAGGCCTGGAGGCATATTGTTGGCAGAACTCTCTTTGCCTCTCTTTCTCTCTCTTCTTCTCTCTCTCTCCCCCTCCCTCCTTCTCTACCTCATTTCTATTAGGCTTCATTCTACAAACAAGCTTCTTTATCCACATGATGTAAGGACAATGGCAACCGATAAACTCAGACTCACATTCTCCAGCTTTGCGTCTGCAGGAGAGAATTTTACCACTATCCTTATGTTAACCCTAAAAAATGATGCTCCCTAGCCCTTTTTGAATTCCATGCCTACCTCTTGCGCCAATCACTGTCTCCAGGCATTGTACCACTGCAATTGGCTAGTCCTGGATCATGTCCTTACAGGCAGAGGTGGCATTAGCTATGGTCCTTGACAATTTATCCAAACTGCACGCAATGGGCTAGAAGTGCCTCCTCAAAGGAAGAAATGCTGGGCTGACAAAAATCACATCTGCCCAGAAAATCATGGAAATTTGGCACGAGAGGGCAAAGAGACCCAAAAAGGTCCCTGGAAGCCCTTGGTCCAGGTGGCAGCATGAGCAACGGGCCATGCGTGTGTTCTCTGCATTCTACGGATGCAGCACACTGGGATTCCAGATAAGTATGCGCAAGTCAGGGTCTAGTGTTTGCAAAATTATCTGCACTGCCAGAATAAAGTTTGCTTCTGGTGCCAGATGATGTTTTCCTCCAGCCCTTGGGGAGCTATAAACCTGTGAAATTAATCAGGATTTTCATTTTGGTAAATGTTATGAGAGTTGCTCCTCTGGGGAAAGCCAACGAATTCCTTCAGAGCTTACAGCAATTACTGCCCTCCCGACCTCAGGGCTGACTTTCCCTATCCATAGCCCTCTTTATCGCAAAGTGCCTTCCACCTGGCTCAGCGCCAAGCTCAGGAATAAGCAGGAGCTGGCAGCCCCTTACAATCACCTGGGGAGATGTTTGAAAAATAGATCCTCATACGAGATGGACAGACGGGGATTCTCAGAGACGGGGCCCAGAGCTCTGTATTTTTGAAAAGTGTCCCAGAGCATCATACAGTCACGCGTCAATTAACAATGGGGATGTGTTCTGAGAAATGCGTCATTAGACGATTTTGCCATTGTGCGAACATCACAGAGCGTATTCACACAAACCTAGATGGTATAGCCTACTACACACCCAGGCTATGTGGTACTAATCTTATATGCAGTTGTATATGCGATGCGTCATCCATGCGGTCCTTCGTCAACTGAAACCTCGTTATGCGGCACGCATCAGGCGGAGAAGGACAGCCTGCTTAGGTGTGGGCACTCAAGACCTTCATGCACTGCTCCCATTCCTGTCCATTCCCATCCTGTCATGGCTGGCCCTGTCCCAGGCCAGCGACGTAGGCAAAGTCTTCTCCTCTCCAATGGAAGCGTGTGAGATGAGTCTTGCTGCCCTGAGCCTGGCACTCTGGCCCCAGAGTGTCCCTGAGCTGAAGCCTTTCTCCCCTCTGGTTTTCCACGTTCATGTTTGGACTTTTCCTTTCTTCTTAGTTTGTGTTTTTTTGCACTTCGATTTCTCTAGCTGGGGTCTGAAGCTCTGCGCTGCTCCCCAGACCATTTGGCAGTGGTCCAGTCACCCCCCCCCCAGATTGTCAGCCTCTGCTCCTCATCCTAGATGCTGTCCCCTTAGCCGTTGGCTGGCCTCTTACTCCAGCCCATTCTCTTTGAACCTCTCTGTTCAGGCTCTCCATTCCACCTCTCCCTGAAGCTGTACTTACATAAATAACCAGTGACTCCTACAGTGCCCCATCTGGCTGTCCATTTTCACTTCCCATCTCCCTTGACCAGTCAGCAGCGTACTGGACACGGCTGACCCTCCCTCCGTCTTGAAACAACTTTGTCACTCGGCCTTTGGACAACACTCGCTCTTGCTTCCCTTCTTCCTGCAGTTCATTCTTGCGTCCTTATTTTCCTGACTAATAAATGGTGGTGCACGCCAGGGTTCCGCCCTTAGATCTTTTTGTATCTACTCTCACTCCCTAGGTGAGTGAGCGCGTTCAATGCATGGTTTTAAATACCACCCAAACGTTTCTGACTTTCCAGTTTCCTCTAATTCCAGACTCCCCTGCTTGCCCAACATCTCCACTTTGATGTCACATAGATAGCTCAGCCTAGACATGTTCAAGCCCTCTCTATCCTCATAACACTGACTCCTCCCATAGGCTTCCCCAGCCTGCGAGAAGGCAACACTTGCCTCCCAGTTTCTCAGGCCCAAAGCTTTGGACACTACTCTTGACTCTTCTCTTTCCCTCATACTCTACTTGTCACCAATATACCCAGAGCCCAACCACCTCTCAGCGCCCATGGCTTTAACTCTAGTCCAAGTCGCCATCTTTTCTCATCTGAACTATTACAATTATTTCCTCACTAGTCTCTCAGCTTCCACGTGGCCCCTGAATCTCTCCTCGACACACCAGCCTGTGTGATCTTTTACAAACATAAGAGCAAGTCCGAATAGGTCTTTCCTGTATTTAAAACTCTCCAAAGCCTTCCTGGCTTTCTCAAATGGCCTTTGGAGACCTGCCAGACTCCCCATCCGGTCCTGCTACCTCTCTGCTCTCACCTCCTGGTCTCACATCCCACCACGACCCCCGCTCATGCAGCATTAGCCTCACTGGCCTCCGGGATCACAGAGTCCAAGCACGTTTCCACTTTCTGTCTTCATACTTGCTAGGCCCCCCACCTGAAAACGCTGCTCCACATACCATCCTCGCACGGTTCAGCCCCTCACCTCCCTCAGGTTTCTGCTCAGATATGCCTTTCCGGATGGTCCTTATCCCATCCATCAACAGGTCCCGTCAGTGACACCCCTGAAATAGACCACAAATGTCTCCAGCGCCTCTGTCTTCACTGCAAGCCATCCTCATCTCCGGACCAGCCTAATGGACTCACTGCTTCCCCTCCTGTCCCTCTGATCCTTCTGCAAACAGCAGCCAGAGAAATCTTTTAAAAAGACAAACCTGATCATGTTGCTCTCCTGTTTAAAATGATTTCATGGCTTCCCAGAGACCTTTGCACAGACTTCAATCCTTTATTCCAGCCCCTAGGGCCTTATAAGATCCCCCTCCTCAGCCACCCCACCACAGTTGTCTCTGCTCCAGCCATCCTTTGTTAGTTTCCCCTTCCTCTCTCTTGCCCCAGGGCCTTTGTACTTGCGATTGACCCTGCCTGATACACACTTCTCTCACCTCTTCACCTGATGTACTTTCAAATTTACACCTTACACACCAGATTAAAAGTCACTGCATCAGGGAAGCCTTCCATGCACCCCCACCCCCAGCCTGGGTCAGCTTAAATGCCCCCACCGTCTCCTATATATTCCCCTCGGAGACCCTCATTCTATCCATAATTACTTGATCGCTGTCTTCCCCTCCAAACCCTTCTATCTGTCCTGTCCGCCTCTGCATTCCCAGTGGACTCAGGGTCAGCCACATATATTGTAGATCCTCAATAAATATATGATGGAGGGGTTAATGAATTGGTAAACGAATGTAGAGGCTGACTCTACATTCTCACCTGGGATCTCACCTCAAACTCAGAGGTTAGTGTGGCTGGGTTCTAGTTTAAGCCCCCAGATCTCTGCTGAGCGATCAGCTGTCCTTCCGCCCTTCCCTCTTCTTTCCCACGTTTGGGAACAAGTGGCATGGCCTTCCTGAATCAAGCCGGGTGGGTGAAGAGCTTTTCCTGGAGGGCCCTATTTCCCTGGAATTCGAAGGGGGAGTCTTGCCATCTATAATCTTCTCTGGCCTCCAAAAACCCTTCTATCAGAGGCTCACTGATGCCTTGACTTTCTTCTCCCTTCGTCTCAGTCCAGTATTTAATAAGCTGCCCATTTGTGGCTACTCAGAGCTTGTCCAAGTCTCCTTGGGGCCCAGAAGAAGGATGTAAATTGCCTGCTGGGGTTTATAAAGGAAGATGGCACCAGGGCCAAACATATTTGGATACGCGTGGCAGCCCAGCTCTGTGCATCAAGGGAGATGCCTCTGTGGCAGGTGCATTCACACGTCTGGGCATCCCACAGCCAAACCCCATATCTGCTGTGGTTGCAAAATGACCCTCAGGACACGAGGGAGCCTTTCCAATTTGCTGAGGATAATCTCAGTCCAAAAAGAAAGAGAGAGAAGGTTTTGGCACATGTCTCCCTTGGTCTCACTGGCTGAGTAGAGTCACGGTCCAGAGCTGAGGTCAAAATATATTTAGCCAGCAGCAGTTAAACCAAAACATTTTAAGTAAAAAAATGTCAAATGGCCTGACTAAACATCTCAACAGGCAACAAGGGAAGGGGAAGAAATGAAGCGGAGCAAGGGCAAAGCAAGAAAACACCAAGAAAAGTATCAGACACCCTGTCACAACCTAAACCAATGAGCAAGAGAGGAGCCAGCAGGCAATAGTGTCAGAGGGAAGAATCTGGAACAGGAGGAGTGAGAAGTGGGGCGCTGAAAGGGCTGCTGGTCTTCAGCGCTGGAACCCCCCAGCCCCGACTCCCAGCGGGCATCTTGGAAGAAGGCCTGGCCGTGCTGAGGCCACCAGCAGGCCGTTCACTGACCAGGACATGGTGAGCCAGACACTGCATTGGCAGTCCCCTGGTAGAGTGCCGTGGTCCCCACAGGACAAAGTTGCTGGCATCCTGGTCCCACCCCATTCAGCTCTTCCTGGTTCTCTCCCAATAAGCAGTGGTGGCCCCAAAGATGACCCCCTGGCCTAGAGCCTCCACTCTCCCCTCCAGGTGGTGCCTCCTTATGATCGTGCCTCACCCTCTTTTGCATCCACTCTCTCTGGCAAACAACAGAAAGTCCTGAGTCCTGAAATGTTCGGTTTTAAACATTTTCAGCATAGGCTGAATTTACCTTTGCCACCTATGACAAAAATCTGTAATGTCCCAGAGGACAAGGACTGTGACTGGTTTTACTTAAACACTTTGTCCTTCTCAGGATGTCCAATACCCCTGCTCCACTCCAACATGTCATTCATGTCCATGCCTTTACACATGCCATTCCCTCTGCTACAATGCCTTTCCCACCCCACCAAGTGAACTCTTCCTCTGCCTTCACCTCCTCTGTGGAGCTTTCTCCAACAGTCCTACCACCATCCATCCTCTCCTTCCCTTTATCCCAGTTCCTTTCACATCGTGGCACCATCGAGACTTGTTGAATGGGACCAGAAGGGGAGCTCTTCATGGGGGAGAGACAGAGTCTTGGTGCCCTATGGACCACTGGCCAAGTTCAGTGAGAGCTTGGCGCATAGACGATACGGACATGTTTGTGGGCTGAATGAGCAGATGCACAAGTGAATGGGTCCTAAACACCGTTGGAGCGTCCGGGCTGCTCGGGGTGAAAATACGGGCTTATCAGACAAATTAGGAGTTAAATCAGGTAGCAACCCAGATGGTGTCTAGCCTTTCAAAATTATAATTGCAGATCTGAGAACAAGGAAAAATATAGCCTAGAATGGTACGAAATATGGTGGGGAAGAAAACCACAGTGATTTTTTTCCCTGAGAATGCTACTCAAGATGAGCTGAAAGCTCACCGCCGACGGCCTTCAGATAATCTGATCCCTGGAACTCTGCAAGCATGGGGTCTTCTTGAGTCATTTTTCAGAGAACCACCCCCGCTTCAGTTATCTGGACTTGGGAGGCCTTTTCCAGCCTCAGGGACCCTGACTACCTTTTCTTCCCAACAACTATTATTAGCGGGAGAAGCATGTTGTACCGCAGAGAACACAAACTTGGGAGCAGAAGAGACCTGGGCTCGAATTCGGGTTCTGTCACTTATTGGCTGTGTAACTTTTGACAAGTCACTTCACCTCTCTGAGCCTCAGTTCCCACACCTGGAAAATGGGGGGATTTTGACCTACCTAAGGGTTTGTTTCAAGAATGACAAGAAAGATGATGGACATAAATAGACCTAGTACAGTGCGTGACATCAAGTGGGCAGCGGACACAACGAAGTTCCCTTCTCCTCATCCCTATTCAGTCCTTCTCCCCGTCTTCATTACTGGCTAGTCTGCACGGCCCCAGTGAAAACGTTCCCTAAATGCCCACTTTTAGCAAGGAACAGCAATCAATCCAGACAACTCAGAACGGCCGCCTCCACTCTGGCTGCTATGTTTTTCCGCAGGTTTCCTGCAGCTTGCTAACTGACCCACCTCTTGAGAGCACCGCTCTCCTGTTCATTCATTCATTCACACACTTGGTTATCCATGCATTCAACAAATATTGACCTGAAACCACTATGTGCCAGGCATGGTGGTAAACACGGGGGTCATGGAGTGAACAAGGAGGCGAATGAGGCTCCTGCTGTCACGGACCTCACAGACAAATGGACTTTTCCCATCTTGATGTGCTTAAACACAGAAGAGTGATGATAAAGTGAGTGACAAGACTCTGGTGGCTCTCCTTCCAGACCCAGCCTCTGGTACTGTGTTGGTTTCCAAGGCCACCATATCAAAGAATCACAAACTTAGTAGCTTAAAACACCAGAAGTTTATTCTCTCACAGTTCTGGAGGCCAGAAGTCCAAAGTCCAGTTGCCAGCAGGACTGTGCTCCCTCTGGAGTCTCTAAGGAAGACTCCGTCCTTGTCTCTTCCAGCTTTTGATGGCTCCTAGAAAGCTTTGCCGTTCCTTGGCTTGTAGCTGCGTCACTCCAATCTCTGCCTCCATCATCCCATGGCTCTCTTCTCTGTGAGTCCTTTTCTGGCTTTTACTGGATTTAGGGCCCACCCTGATCCAGTGTAAACTCATCTTGATCCTCACCTTCTTACATCTGCAAAGACCTTATTTCCAAATAAGGTCACATTCTGAGGTTCTAGGAGGACACGAATTTGGGGGTAGGCACTACTCATCCTTATACAGATACCGTCTCCCCCAAGAAGGCATCCTTGATGAGCCCTCATCCCACTCCGCCGCAGGCAGGGCCACCATGACACTGACTCATCCTCATC